CATAATAAAAGGACAAATTTCAAAATTAGTTCTATAATTTGACCAAAGTTCAATTTTCCATCATCCCGTCATTGACCGCTTTCAAATTGTGTCCAATAATTTGACAATTTAATCAATTTTGACCCTTTTTAATTCGCAACCCGGATAAAAAAGTGATGTGACATTTTTAAACATGATATGACGTGATTGTGGCAAATGTTGAGTTCAAAATTAAATAATCCACATAAGCCCAAGGCCTTAACTAAAATTTTTTAAATTGCAAAAAGCCATAGTTATTAAATTTTAAAAAGCGAGCCCCTGCATTTCCAAACTCTATTTGATATTTACCCATCCACCTCTGCCGTTCGCTGGTCGCCATCTCTGATCGGTTTCTGTTTACATCAACTTCAAGTTCTTGTCCTCCTCCTAAAATTTTCGGCAAAAATTCCATCGGTAATGCCGACGTCAATTGCTCTGGTCAAATTTTTAGATCGAGAAAATTCCAGTCTTCTTCAATTTTCCGGCAACACAGTGACCCATCGAAATTCAAGGACACCTTTGGACTCCTTGCTCCACCGAGCACCCGATGACGTCCACCATCTCCGGAACCGACGAGTTTTTCTGACAACCCATTGATAGCTCAAATCTCTTCCGACAAATACAAGTGTCAAGATGTAGTAAAGCTTGGATCTTTCTCAAATCTCAATAAGCGAAAAAATCATCAGAACCAAGAATTAATTGAATTACACAGAGATTATGTCTCAACAAGTCTCCGATTTAACAATAAAAATCAGATAACAAAATCCTCCTTCAAATTAAAAACCAGCTAGTGTGGATTCGAATCCGATAACTCAGATTAGCATTACTAATATCATGGACTCATCTTGGTTCAGGAAATCCCTCTAAAGAAACTTGAATACGCTGAAAGAGGAGGAATTGAATTTTGCGGATGAAGCAAAAATGGAGAGTATGAATGCTTTCCATATAAATTCCGTGTTGGAAGGGTTTTGTTAAATATATAGTAGTTGTATTATGTATTGTAGTGTTAGGTTAGATTAAGGCCCCATATAAGCCCATATTTTGTCTTTATATACATGTACATACCTTTGTGATTAATACAACATACATTTTTCCCACATTCTTACATGGTATCAGACTAGGGTTATGGTCCAAATAGGTTTTGTGTTTTCTCGTTCATCTCCAGCCACCGTTGATTCTCACCTCCCAGCCCATCACCTCCGGCATCTCCGGCGATCATTCGCCGGAAATTTCAGGCCGTAACTCCGCGCGTGGGCCCCACACGTGCCGGAACAGTGAGACAGCACCGGCAGCTTCCGACGGCACGTGAGGACCACCCCCAGCTCCGATCACCGCCTTTTTTTCGACCGTCGACTCCAATCATCGTCGGCTACGTCTTGGTGTGGTCGGTTTTGGTTTTTGTGACTTTAATTTCGACCTATATTTATATTTTGACGGTTTCGTGATCTGATTTGTGCCTATACTTTTCATCTGTTTCGTGATATTGTGTTGATCTGAGTTTTGGATATGGATCGTATAGATGTGCATTCTCCTATCAGTGTTGTCTTACTAGGGGATAATTATAGTCTTTAGGCACAGTCTATGAAGAGTTTTTGAATTGGGCAAAAATTGTGGCGGATTATAATTGGTGATGTGTTGCCACTTGTGTATCCGTCTCTTTCAGGGGATCCCAACCCCACACAACAGAGTCTTACCACTTAAGTTGATAAGTTGGAAGATTGGGATAGTAAGAACCATCAGATTCTTACTTGGTTACGTAATACTTCAGTCCCTGCTATTCAGGTGCAACTTGCCCCGTTTGATAGTGCAAAGGAGGCTTGAAATTTTTTGGATGCTAAATTTCAGACTACAGGCTTGGCTCACTATTATCAGCTTTGGAGCACCTTTCATTCCACAAAGCAACAACCGAGTTAATCGGTTAATGATTTTCTTGCACAAGTTCAACTTATTCGGTATCGTCTCCGACAGGCTAAGATTAGTCCAGATCACCTTGATCTTATTCAGATTTTGATGGCTCTTCGTCCGGAGTATGAAGTTGTTCGTGGTTCTCTCTTACATTGTCATCCACTGCCTACTCTTGATGCTGCTACTCAAGAGATCACTTTTGAGGAGACTCATCTTCAGTTGGCCCGGACACCACAGCTTGAGTCTGCATTAGCTGTGCCTACTTCTGCTTTCGCTACATCACATCAGCCTCAGCCACCAGTTTCTGTTTATTGTGGGCGTTGCAAGAGCTCTGGTCACCCTTTTGCCACTTGTCCTAAAGTGGAGTGCCACATCTGTCGTGCTCGGGGTCATATTGCTCCGAATTGCCCAGCCAAGCCACAACGTTCGGGAGGTTCATCTTCTCGATATTGAGGGTCTCGTGGGTCTTCTTCATCGACCCCCTTATCTATCACCGCGACTGTCTCTAATAAGCCTCAGCACTCGTCTTACACTCTTCAATACATTGAAGCTATTCTCAAACAGGTTATCCATTTTCAGTTCTTCTATGTCTGCTACTGCAGGTAACCCTCATTGGTACTTTGATTCTGGCTGTTGTAATCACATGACCTCTAGTCCACAGTTTTTTTCTTCCTCGTCCTCCATAACTTCTTTACCTCCTATACATACTGTCAATGGTACCCATATAAATATTACTCACAGTAGTTTGGTTTCTTCCCCCTCTTTACACCTTCCTGACACATGCTGCATTCCTGACTTGGCCTTGAATCTTATTTCTGTTGGTCAATTAGTTGAACAAGGTCTCAATGTTATCTTTTCATCTTCTAGTGTTCAGGTACAAGATACACAAACGGGTCGGCTTCTCGGGATGGGTCGCAAGATGGGCCGGTTATTTGAGCTTGAGTCTCTTCATATCCCTCATTCTCTCTCATTTTATGCTCCTGTCACCGATAATAAGTCCAGCTTTCAGTGGCATCTTCGCCTTGGGCATGCGTCTTTAAATAAAGTTCGTTCTTTATATAATAAAGGTCATTTTGAGTCTTTAGTTGTCTTCATTGTGAACTTGAGAAACACTCGGCTCTTTCCTTTTCTGAGAATTTGTCAACTGCTAATAAACCTTTTAGTTTGATACATTCTGGTATTTGGGGTCCTTCTCCAGTTGCTTCTATGAATGGTTTTCGCTACTTTGTTATTTTTGTTGATGATTTTCTCGTTTTACCTGGATCTATTTTCTCAAACATCGTTCTGAGTTGCCCACCATATATATTTAATTTGCTAGAATGATTCACACTCAATTTTCTTGTCCTATGAAAGTCTTGCGTACTGACAATGCCCTTGAGTACAAAGATTCTACTTTTTTACAATTTCTTTCTGATCAGGGCACAGTCGTTCAGCGTTCATGTCCTTGTACTTCTCAACAAAATGGACGAGCTGAACATAAGCATCGTCACATTCTTGATATTGTTCGTGCTCTTCTCCTTTCTGCTCAGCGTCCTGATCGTTTCTGGGGTGAGGCAGCCTTAACTGCTATTTATGCTATCAATCGATTACCCTCATCGGTTCTTCGAGATATCAGTCATTTTGGGAGGTTGTACGGTTAGTCGCTTGATTATACTCAGCTATGCCCTTTTCGTTGTGTTTGTTTTGTTCTTCTCCCATTCCATGAGCAGACTAAATTAGAACCTCAAGCTCGTCTGTGTTGTTTTTTGGGTAATGGGGTAGAACACAAAGGGTTTAGGTGTTGGGATCCTATTGCTAATCAGTTGCATATTTCGCGTCACGTTACCTTTTGGGAGCATACTACTTTTTATTCTTTGTTTAAATTTCACATTCCCTTCGATTCGTTGTCCCATTTTTTTATGTCCATTACTTCGGATCTTTTTCCAGATACTTGTTCTGACTCACACCTCATTAACACGCCTGTCATGCCTCCGTCTTCTGAAGTGGCTCCATCTGCGAATCCTGAACCGACGGTTCCTGTTGAGTCCTCTTCTGATTATGTCCCTTCGCTCACCATTGATCACCGACGATCAACCCGTGTAAGTCGTCCTCCTTCTCACTTGCTCGACTCTCATTGTTATTCGGGCATACTATCTTATCATGAGCCTAGAACTTTTCGTGAGGCGAGTGTTGATCCATTATGGCAACAAGCTATGGTTGAGAAATTGCAGGCACTTGAGAAGACTCATACTTGGGATTTGGTGGATCTACCTGCTAGAAAGACACCTATCGGATGCAAATGGGTTTATAAGATCAAGACAAATTTAGATGGATCTATTGAGCACTACAAAGCTCGTCTGGTTGCTAAACGGTACTCACCGGCATCGATTATGAAGAGACCTTTGCACCACCTTGATCGTCTTACTACTGTTCGGTGTTTACTTGCTGTTGTTGTTGTTCGTCGATGGTCTCTTCTACAGTTAGATATGAAGAATGCCTTCTTGCACGGTGCCTTATCTGAGGAGGTTTACATGTCTCCTCCTTTGGGTTTCTTGTCCTCTGGGAAGATTTGTCATCTACGTCGAGCTTTGTATGTTTTGAAACAAGCGCCTCGCGCCTGATATGCCACGTTCAGTTCTGCATTATTTCAGTTTGGTTTTACTACGAGTGATCACGATTCTGCTTTGTTTCTTCGACACTCCTCCTCCGGGATCATTATTTTGCTACTCTATGTTGACGATATGATCATCACGGGAGATTATGTTACAGGTACTTCCGATTTACAGGACTATCTTCGTCAGCATTTTGAGATGAAGACTTTGGGTCAGCTTCGTTATTTTTTGGGCCTTGAGATTTCTGATTCCTCTGATGGCTTCTATTTGCCTCAAGCCAATTATGCCTCTGATCTTCTTGCTTGGGCAGGTCTCACTGATTGTCAGACAGCTTCCACACCTCTTGATTATGATGTTCGTCTTACTCCATTAGCTGGCTCTCTTCTTTAGGATCCTACATTATATCGTCAGCTTGTTGGGAGTTTGATATATTTGACTGTCACGCGGCCTGATATAGCTCATGTCGATCATATTGTGAGTCAGTTTATGGCTGCTCCAAGAACCACACATCATTTTGCTCTCCGCTATGTGAAGGGCACTCTACTGCATGGTTTACACTTCTCGACACGTTCTTCCTTGACACTTAGCGACTATTCTGATGCAGATTGGACTGGAGATTCTACTGATCGTCGTTCCATTAATGGGTACTGCTTCTTTCTGGGTGATTTACTCGTCTTTTGGCGTAGTAAGAAGCAAACCTTAGTTTCCAGATCGAGTGCTGAGTCTGAGTATCGTGCGCTTGCTGATTCTACCTCCGAGCTATTATGGCTACGTCGGCTACTTGCTGACCTCGGTGCACCTCAGTCGTTGTCTACTGCTCTTCATTGTGATAGTCAGAGTGCTATAAAGATGTCTCATAATGATACTTTTCATGAGCGCACGAAGCATACTAAGATCGACTGTCACTTCATTCGACAGCATGTTGCACATGGGACGTGAAGCTTGTTTCCGTCTCCTCTACGGATCAACCAGCGGATGCCTTCACTAAGTCTCTCCTTCCCGGTCGCTTTTGTTTACTTCTTAGCAAACTCAAGTT